GGTTCAGAAGCCCTGAAACTATGTCTTCAACACGATGCTAACGGGTAACCAATTCTTACGCCACAGATCCTAACCCCTTTTCCTCAAGAAAATTCAATTTCACACTGAACTGTTTCAGATCCGACTGCTGTGCCATCAATTTGTCACATTACCACGTGGCCTTTGGTCATTTCACCAATCAAAGGCACATGTGTTGTTCAATTGCCACCAGATGATTACATCAACTTTATTCAGTATTAATAACAGAGGTCCAGGTAACGTATCATTTAAGAACCAATTAGAAATTGTTTATTGTTACAAGTGATAAAAGTCCAGTCAATGTCGTTAACTCTCAACTAAACAACTTTCTTTCTCCACAGTCAACTACCTACTCTTCTTCTCCCTTGCTCTCCTTTTCTTTTCCGCCACTTAACTCTGCCCCCACCAACTCCTATTGGTGCTTGCAAATTTCAACAAAAATATTCATGAGCAGGGTGAATGCTACAACAATCTTGTCCCTCTTGAACACCTCCCTGATTTGTCTCCTAATTTCAAGGTCCCCCTCAAGACTTTGATCTGGAGGATGATATCACAACCCCGCTATCACATCGCCCCTTGGGCCTGGCAGTTTAACCCACAGTGATTCTATTATGGAGTCAGACCAACCATCCATCTTATTCTGCCCCTTCTTTGACATAGATGGCCACCCCAACACCAACACACGCCTCCCTATAGACATTATTGCTTGGGATGGCGGTATCCCACTAGTGCTCCAAATTCCACCAGGTTTCCGTTATAGCCACTATATCCATTATAGCCACCCAATGTTCCAGCTCTCCCATCTTTGCTCAGATTTTTCGGACATTTTCATAACAGTGCCTGCATATGGGGTCCCCCAAGATGGACTGCTTCTTTGTTTCTTTTTTTTCCCCACAGGTTCTCCTTCCAACGGACCAACTATCACACCAGGGCCTGCCAGACCTGCTCTTTTGCATATGGGATGGATCAGGCTACAAAGAGTCTGTTGAAGTGGGGGGCAGCGGTGAGGGAGGAGTGATGTGCCATTTGGCATACTTCTCCCA